AGTATGCTGTCTGTGATAGGATTATATCTATCTGTCTTGAAGGAAATTCAACCACATGAGTATTATTCAAATTTATGCAACAACCACAAAAGCTAGTGGTGAAGAAATGGAAGAATTCTACCAATGACTTCAGTCTGAAATTGATCAAAAATGCAATCAAAATACATTATTAATTATTGGTGATTGGAATGCAAAAGTTGAAAGCAGAGGAAGGAACAGTATTTGGAACATATGGACTTAGTGATAGAAATGAAGCTGGAGATCGCATGATAGAATTTTGCAAGACCAGTGATAGTTCAAAGCAAATACATTTCTCACGACAGAAAAGGTGACTATACACATGAAATTCTTCAGATGGGATGCACGGAAATCAAACTGATTACATCTGTAGGAAGAGATGATGGAAAAGATCAACATCAGCAGTTAAAATCAGGCCAGGGACGAACTGTGGGACAGACCATCAATTGCTCAGATGTAAGTTCAGGAAAAGCTGAAGAAAATTAAAACAAGTCCATGGGAGCCTAAATACAGCCTTCAGTCTATACCACCCGAATTTTGAGAACATCTCAAGAGCAGATTTGATGCATTGAATACTAAGGACAGATGACCTGATGGGTTGTGGGAGGACATTAGGAATATCATATGTGAAGAAAGCACGAGGTCATTAAAACGACAGGAGAGAAAGAAAGGATCAAAAGTGGATGGCAGAAGAGACGCTGAAACTTGCTTTTAACCAGAGTAGCTAAAGCAAATGGCACAAGGATGAAATCAAAGAACTGAACAGAAAACTCAAAGGGGAGCTCTCAAAGTCAAACCTAACTATTACAAGGAAATGTGCGAAGAACTAGAATTAGAAAACCAAAAGGGAAGAACACGCTCAGCACATCTTGAACCAGAACATAGGTTGGGGTGGGTGGCAGGTGTGGGTGGTGGTGGTGTGTGAGTGGCGTGGTTTAAAATCAGGAAAGGTGCCAAAGGGTTGTATCCTCATCATGCTTATTCAACCTTCATGTGGAGCAAATCCTCAGAGAAGCTGGGCGACATGAAGAAGAATGTGGCATCAGGACTGGAGGAAAGCTAGTTAATGATCTGAGATATGCAGGTGACACAGTATTACTTGCTGAAAATGAAAAAGACATGGCGCACTTGCTGATGAAGATCAAGGATTTATTTCAGCCTTCAACATGGATTACAAATCGATATAAAGAAACCAAAATCCTCACAACTGGACCAATAAGCAGCATTATGATAAATGGAGAAGAGATTGAATTTGTCAAGGCTTTTGCCTTGCTTGGCTGCATTATCAATCCTTATGGAAGCAGCAGTCAAGAGATCAAGTAATGCATTGCATTAGTTAAAACTGTGGCACAAGATCTCTTCAGGGTATTGAGAAGCAAGGATGTTACTTTGAGGACTAAGTCGCTCCTTACTCAATCCATGGTATTTTCAATTGCCTCCTATGCGTTTGAGTGTTGGGCATTGAATAATGAAGACTGAAGAATTAATGCATTTGCTATATAATATAACATGCTAGCCTATAAAATATCATGTTTCATAGACTAACATGTGTTATATTATATAGCAAAACACATCTTATGTAATATATATATCAAAGAAGTCCCTTGAGGCGATGGATTGACACCTGGCAGCAACCATGGGCTCAGGCACAGGAGTCATTGTGAGCAAACCCAAGTCCTGTACCCTGGGATAATACTCACCCTCTTCTCAAGTTAGGGCGCTTCCATTTCTAATGATAGTGGAAATTACCCTTCCCCCGTCCCCAGGAAAATTCAAATCATACTAGATTCATTTTTTCTTTTAAAGTTAATATTTTGAAAAAATAAGAATGAATGTATGACATTATTCTTTTTTTAATCATTTTATTGGGGCTCATACAAATCCTCACAATACACAGATCAATTGTGTAAAGCACACCTATACATTTGTTGCCCTCATCATTCCCAAAATTCGCTTTCCTCTTGGGTCCCCGGAATCAGCTCATTTTCCTTTCTCTGCCCTCTCCCCCCTCCCCCATGAACCCTTAATAATTTATAAATTATTATTATATCTTATCTTACACTGCCCGGCGTCTCCCTTCACTCACCCCTCTGCTGCCCATCCCCCAGAGAGGAGGTTATATGTAGATCCCTGTGATCAATTCTCCCTTTCTACCCACCCCTCTCCCCTCCTGGTATCGCCACTGTCACTCCTGGTCCTGAGGGGTTCATCTGTCCTAGATTCCCTGCGTTTCCAGTTCCCATCTGTACCGCTGTGCATCCTCTGGTCTAAGCAGGTTTGCAAGGCAGAATTGGGGTCATGGTAGTTGGGGGGAGGAAGCGTTTAAGAACTAGAGGGAGGTTGTGGGCTTCATATGACATTATTCTTTTTAATGTATTTTTCTCCTCTCTCCCCTCAATATCCTATTCCTTCCCTCTTCCTTTTGGTGCCCCCGTCCCCTGGCCTCTTTCTAGTCATCCGTCTTCTCTTTTAGTTTCAAAACATTTCTCTTTCTTTGTTTTTCCTTATAATAATGGTGTTATTAAGTATTTATTGACTGAGTTTGCTAAGCATAATATTCTCCAGTTTTGTCTACCTCTTGTGGTGTTTAAGAGAGTTGTCAATGTTTTATTTTGATGCATAATATTCCACTGTATGAATGTACTAGAGTTTATCTAATCCTCTCTAAATGGAATTTTTGTTTGTTTCCATGCTTTTGCTATTATGAAAATTGCTGCAATAAACATACCTGTGCATCTGTCTGTCTGTGTTGTAGTCTTTATTTGTTTAGGGCATGTACCCAGGAAAGAGATTGCTGTCTCATATTTGTATTCACATTTGTTTAAGAAAGTGCCATACTGTCAGTTCTACAGTCGCACCAGCACTGTGAAAGCATTCTGATCTCTCTGCAACCTCTCCAGCATTTATTATTTTCTGTTTTATTGAATTTTGCTTAAAGTGTCCATGTGAGGTGAGATCTCATTGTTGCTTTAAATTATATTTCTCTTATTACTAATGTACTTGAACATTTCTTCATATGGTTGTTGGCCACTTGGAATATTGTCTTTGGTAAATTGTCCATATTTTGTGCCCATAATTTTAATTAGGTTATTTTTATTTTCTTGTTAAGATGGTGTAGTTTTCTACAGATTTTAGAGATTAGCTGTTTATCTGATAAATTATTACTAAATATTTTTTCCTAAACTGTTAACTCTTTTGATGAAGTCTTTTGATATGCATAACCATCACAGCCTCCTACCTACTTTGTTTTTATTTTTTATTAACGTTTTATTTTTCCTGGGTTTCTTTCTTTCCATAGACAGGTGGTGATTGGTTTTTCTATTTCTTGAAGAATGATGGTAGGATTTGAATTGGAATTGCATTGAATTTGTGAAGTATTTTTGTAAATATTGAAATTTTTACAATGTTAAGCTTTCCTAACCAGGAACATGGTAGCTTGTTCCATGTGTGTACATTTCTTTTGGTTTCTGGTAGGAGTGTTTTGCAGTTTTTTTGTATGTTTTTTGTTTCACTGGTAAAATTTATACCTACATGTTGTATCTTTTGTGTAGCTATTATAAATGGTATTTTTCTTTAAAATCCTTTTAGTGTCATCTTTAATATACAAAAATCTAACGGATATATGTATATTGATCTTACAGTCTGCCTCACTAACAAATATTTCAATTAGTTCAATTTTTTAAATGGAATCTTTAGGGTTTTCTGTATATCAGATTATACTGTATGACATTATTCTTCAAGTTTTAATGACTTTGACATTTATTTCGAGAAGAGGATACTTTGTCCAAAAAAGTCAATTTGTTTTGGGATAAAATTTTCACATTTTATGAAGCTTTCTGAGATTTAAAATGTTTTAAATAAATTTAAATTTAATAAATTTAATAAATTTTCAGAATACTTCTGATACTAGTGCTAGATCTACTCAGGTTAAGTATAACTGTGACACATTTTCTTTTGTGTACTCCTAAGAGTGAGTGAAAAACCGATTGGTGACTGTTTATGCTGTTTTAATGCTGCTTATGCTGTTTTTCATTTATGCTGGTTTTGTCTTCTGCACAGTAAAAAGCACGGAAAGGACAGTCATTGTACTGTTCGCAATGTTATGAATCACTGGCAACTTTGTTGGTCTTGGGAATTTACTGTTTTCTAATCTGTGCTTGGTGACCTTTAACTTTCCTATAATATTTGCTACAAAATTAAGAAATCAGACTTCTTGCAAAGCACCCCTGGCTATTAATTTTCCATTGGTCAGTAGTTTGTATTAATTATTCCTTAAGGCTAGAACAGGGCATCCTGATAGCTGCTTTTTAAAAATCTGAAAAGGGATGATTCTGAAGCTAGACTCCCAAGCTTTGAGTTTTTGATGCTTAGTAGCTGAGTAACTTTGGGCAACTTATTTACCCTTTCTTAACTCAGTTTATTTGTTAATCAAGTGAAGTTCTATGTCATAGAAACCACTTCAAAGTTTGGTGACTGTTTTGTTGTTGTTAGGTGCCATCGAGTCAGTTCTGACCCTTAGTGACCTTACGCACAGCCCAGGCCTGAGCCATCCTCCCAATTGTTCTTAGGTTGGAACTCCTTATTGTGGCCACTGTCACTCTAGCTCATTAAGGGCCTTCCTCTTTTTCGCTGCCACTCCGCTTTACTGAGCATGATGTCCTTCTCCAGGGACTGCTCCCTCAAGGCTTGCCATCCTTGACTCTAAGGAGCACTCTGGCTATACGTCTTCCAAGACAGATTGCTTTGTCCTTTTAGCAGCCCATGCTACTTCCAATATTCTTCTCCAGCACCACAATTCAAATACATCGATTCTTCTTTGGTCTTCCTTACTCAATGTCCAACTTTCACATGCATATGATGCTATTGAAAATATTACGGTTTAGGTAAGCGTACCTCAGTCCTCAAAGTAGCGTTCTTGCTTTCCAATGCTCTAAAGAAGTCTTGTGTAGCAAATTTACCCAATGAAACACAAAGCTGGTTCTCAGCTTGAAGAAGAGTCTACCGTCCTTATTGATCCTTTTTCTTGGCGTTACCATTTTTGAAGCAAAGTTAACCTAACTTTCTAGTGTGAGCTTTCTTTTTGGCCATCTTAAAAAAAATTTTTTTTTAATCTGTACAATAGACAAGAGATAGTTCTACAATGTCCAAGTCATTCCAGCAGTCATCTCTCGGTAGGGACTCACAGGGTCATGGGCGTGACCTGTCTGCAGCAGGAATAGGCCTTCTTGCTGCTGCTACCCAGTCTTTAAGTATGCCAGCATCTCTTGGAAGGATGAACCAGGGTACTGCACGCCTTGCTAGTTTAATGAATCTTGGAATGAGTTCTTCATTGAATCAACAAGGAGCTCATAGTGCACTGTCTTCTGCTAGTACTTCTTCCCATAATTTGCAGTCTATATTTAACATTGGAAGTAGAGGTCCACTCCCTTTATCTTCTCAACACCGTGGAGATGCAGACCAGGCCAGTAATATTTTGGCCAGCTTTGGTCTGTCTGCTAGAGACTTAGATGAACTGAGTCGTTATCCAGAGGACAAGATTACTCCTGAGAATCTGCCCCAAATCCTTCTACAGCTTAAAAGGAGGAGAACTGAAGAAGGCCCTACATTGAGTTATGGTAGAGATGGCAGATCTGCTACACGGGAGCCACCATACAGAGTACCTAGGGATGATTGGGAAGAAAAAAGGCACTTTAGAAGAGATAGTTTTGATGATCGTGGTCCTAGTCTCAACCCAGTGCTTGATTATGACCATGGAAGTCGTTCCCAAGAATCTGGTTATTATGACAGAATGGATTATGAAGATGACAGATTAAGAGATGGAGAAAGGTGTAGGGATGATTCTTTTTTTGGTGAGACCTCGCATAACTATCATAAATTTGACAGTGAGTATGAGAGAATGGGACGTGGTCCTGGCCCCTTACAAGAGAGATCTCTCTTTGAGAAAAAGAGAGGCGCTCCTCCAAGTAGCAATATTGAAGACTTCCATGGACTCTTACCGAAGGGTTATCCCCATCTGTGCTCTATATGTGATTTGCCAGTGCATTCTAATAAGGAGTGGAGTCAACATATCAATGGAGCAAGTCACAGCCGCAGATGCCAGCTGCTTCTTGAAATCTACCCTGAATGGAATCCTGACAATGATACGGGACATACCATGGGTGATCCATTTATGTTGCAGCAGTCTACAAACCCAGCACCAGGAATTCTGGGACCTCCACCTCCTTCATTTCATCTTGGGGGACCAGCAGTTGGACCAAGAGGAAATCTGGGTGCCGGAAATGGAAACCTGCAAGGACCAAGACACATGCAGAAAGGCAGAGTGGAAACTAGCCGAGTTGTTCATATCATGGATTTTCAGCGAGGGAAAAACCTGAGGTACCAACTTTTACAGCTGGTGGAGCCATTTGGAGTCATTTCAAATCATCTGATTCTAAATAAAATGAATGAGGCATTTATTGAAATGTCAACCACAGAAGATGCTCAGGCTGCAGTGGATTATTACACAACTACACCAGCATTAGTATTTGGGAAGCCAGTGAGAGTTCATTTGTCACAGAAGTATAAAAGAATAAAGAAACCCGAAGGAAAGCCAGATCAGAAGTTTGATCAAAAGCAAGAGCTTGGACGTGTGATACATCTCAGCAATTTACCCCATTCTGGTTATTCTGACAGTGCTGTCCTCAAACTTGCAGAACCTTATGGGAAAATAAAGAATTACATCTTGATGAGAATGAAAAGTCAGGCCTTTATTGAGATGGAGACCAGAGAAGATGCAATGGCAATGGTTGATCAATGCTTGAAAAAGGCTCTGTGGTTTCAAGGAAGATGTGTGAAGGTTGACCTGTCTGAAAAATACAAAAAATTGGTACTGAGGATTCCCAACAGAGGCATTGACTTACTGAAAAAAGATAAATCTCGAAAAAGATCTTATTCTCCCGATGGTAAAGAATCTCCAAGTGATAAGAAGTCCAAAACTGATGGTTCCCAGAAGAATGAAAGTCCAGCTGAAGGCAAAGAACAAGAGGAGAAGTCAGGTGAAGATTGTGAGAAAGATACCAAGGATGACCAGACAGAGCAAGAACCTAGCATGCTTCTTGAATCTGAAGATGAGCTACTTGTAGATGAAGAAGAAGCAGCCGCACTGCTAGAAAGTGGCAGTTCAGTGGGGGATGAGACTGATCTTGCTAATTTAGGTGATGTGGCTTCTGATGGGAAAAAGGACCCTTCGGACAAAACTGTGAAAAAAGATGGAAGTTCTTCAGCAAAGAAAAGACTTAAAAAGCGTCGTTTCCCAGGGAGTATGGAAGGTTTTGTCACTCTAGATGAGGTTGGTGATGAGGAAGATTCGGAACTTCAGAAACTTCGTAAATCGGGCATGGCATTTAAATCTGGTGACAAAAATTATGATGGTTTGGTTGAAATTAAGGTGGACAAGATCGAGGAACTTGATCAAGAAAATGAGGCAGCGTTGGAAAATGGAATTAAAAACGAGGAAAGTACAGAGACAGGCGCTGAATCTGCTGAGAATGCTGATGATCCCAACAAAGATACAAATGAAAATGCTGATGGCCAAAGTGATGAAAACAAGGAGGATTATACAGAAGAGCGCAGACAGAAGAAGGAGGCTTAATGATTTGTTTAAATCTTATAGCAGAAATGCGTATACATTTAAGTTAATGAAGAGTAGTTTTTGTTTTATCAGAATGGCAACAGACAGAAGAACTTTGTGTAGAGGCTGATGTCATAAGCTACTTAAGATAACTTGCACCACTAAGTAAAAGATGTTAGAGCCTTTCAGAGAAATAAAATTTAGTAGTTCCAGGCTTCAAAGAAATGTCAACTTTTGATTCCATTCAATAAAGAACAAAACCAATTGTATTTTTATTACTTTCATTTGAAACATTCCACATTTTAATCTGAGCCTTGTTACAGACATTTTATTTTGAGTTTGATGCTTTTTGTTTGCATTTTGTATTTCAGAACTTCATTAATAAGATTGGGAATTAGAATGCAGGTGCAGTTTTCTTTTAATGTCACGCTGTTATTTAGATAATAAGAAATATTCCGAAATTGTCTTTAGATTTTGTAATTTTT